TTGCGGGCTGGGCTGGGGCGGCGTGTGGAGTACGCCTGGCAAGCGACCTGCACTTCAGACCTTGAAAAAATGATGGTGGAGTGTTAGTGTCCACGGTCCATCCCTGTAGTCGTTTTTCACTCTGAGCTAATGTAAACAAAGGGAAGAAACGTATAGTTCAGCTTGTGGGACTGGTTGTCAAGGTGTACACCTGAGAGTAAAAGTTACTCTCGTGCACAGTGATACCCGGCACCGTCTTCGCTGTCAGAGCTAGGGATGAGGAGGGTGTAGCTGAACCTCTGTCAGGGTTTGTGTGGAGCCCTAATTCCATTCGGAGGGGGGGAGGAAGTGGGGAAAAAAACCCCTCCTTGTAGTTTTCTTTTAATTTCTGCTAAATTGTCTACCTATTTCTCAGCATGAGCATGCTGTAGAGAGCTCTCTGCTCACCTGCCCCAGGCATTCCCTTCTGGTGCTCAGACCTCGCTGCTTGTCCTAGGGAAGCGTTCTTGTTAGCCTGGTGAAGGTCCTTCCTGGCCAGTCCTAATTAAAGCAGAGGCTTCTGTCCGGTCGATGTTAACCTTTACACGTGTCCAGTTTTAACAGGTAATCAGCGACCTGTAGTTTTCAAGAGGTCCAATTAAAAATGCGTAATTACAGAAGTCTTGCTCTGTCATCTAATTCTTCAGGCAGAAACAGAATTAGGGGCCTCCTGTTGTGAGCTTAGATATCAAAGTCTTGACATAACTCTTTCATAGTCATGACAGATCTTAGCCTCATTAAGCAACTCTTGGCTTCAGAATCCACTGCAGTTAGGTATTCTGAGCACTTACTAGATGTGGCCTCAAATAAGAAATAAACGATAACAAGAGTTGTGCTCTTCCTTGGAAATTCATGGACAATGTGGAAGAGCAGTCCAGAGCTTTAGGCAGAAAGCTTAACTTGTGGTGGAATCACTGGTCACTGGGGGTAGGTGCTGCATTTGGCAGTGTGTTATGCTGGTCTAATTTACTCAGCTTGGTACATGTGACAAACACGCTTGGTACATGTGACAAACACGCTGTCACAGGAACTGAAACACATTTTCATGTCACAAGGTTAGCCCAGGCAGTAGTCAGCAATCGCCCAAACTTACTCTGTCTGGCCACAGCTGTGTTGTAAGCAAAGCAGTCGCAGCGCCAAGGGTCTCTTGACTACCTTTGTTTTCTGTCCGTAACTTCTCCTCAGGGAGGTGGATGTCCTCCCAGTGAGGACAGAAGGATCTGAAATCTGGTACTGTGCATCTCAAAATTGACACGGTTTCTGCGTGCTTACCAGGTGTTCCAGAAAAGTACTGATTTTTAAGTACTTCATTGTCGTGAAGTTTGTGGCTGTGCTTAAACGCTGAGGGAGTTTCTGTCTCAGAATGAAGCCGCTAATTCTCCGAGGGCACTTAAATCCTTGCAGACTAGTTCACGTTAGACATAATCTGAATTTACGCAGAGCAAAACGAGGTGCATTTTGAGCAAGAATAGGGGAAGGGGAGAGCTGATTTGATGGGGGAAGATGACAGTTTTAAGTTATGCTTGGTCTCTGCCTTAACTCCCAGAAGCAGAAAGAGTACCCAAACCACAGCTGTGGCTCGATGGATTGGAAGCTCATAACCTTTAATATTCCTTACTCAGAAGTCACCAATTTAATTAGGAACTCACAGCAATTTACTTCATTTGAAAACACTGATGTAAAATCCCATTGGTTTCGCAGAGATAGTTGCCACTGATAAATGAATATACACTGAGTGAATACATGTGTGAAGTGATTTTCAGTCTCCTTATCTGAAATGGGGTTTGTTACCTCGTCATTACCTTCTTGCTTTAACATTGTTCAGACTTGGGCTTTGACCTCTTTTTACTTCATGCTGTTTGAATGGGTATTGAATGGTTGAAAACCAAAAAAGGCGCTGCCTTTGTTTCACTAGGGAAGGATTGTGTTTCTCAAGGATGTGGTACTTAAATAAGAATTTCAGTTCAATGGGGCTTCGGTATTTAAACTGTTGTTTTCATTTTTAGGTTGCAGATATCAAGAGAGTTAACAATCTCATCAACGATCAAGATTTTTTTGCCCTGCGGTCTATCAAAATTCCAGTGAAGAAGTTCAGTGTATTGACCGAAACGCATGTCTCTCTGAAAGGAAGACAAGTCCTTTGGCCGGCTCATTGTTCCCCAGAAGTGCAGGAAACACCACCTCCGGATAAATTCTCTGCTAATGAGACTGCTGGCAACTTCTTAAAAGAAGTGGATCGAGATATAGAAGAAATAGTGAAGTGTAATGATACAAAGAGAGAGAATCTTAACGAAGTTGTTTCTGCTTTAGCAGCCCAACAAATCTGTTTTGAAACCGATGGTAAAGCTAAAAAATGCAAGGATCCTTACTATGGAGCAGATTGGGGTATAGGATGGTGGACAGCTGTGGTGATTATGTTGATTATCGGCATAGTAACTCCAGTTTTTTACCTCCTCTATTATGAAGTCCTTGTGAAAGCAGATGTCAGTCACCATTCTACAATGGAATCTTCTCATTTGTTTGTCACGGCCGCATCGCATCAGAAACAAATAGAAAATGGAATGAATCCGGCGAATATTATACACCTTGATAATCAAGGAGACCTTCAGCCTTAACAACAGAAAACCCCAGGCAGCTGTTATTATTCATGGACACATAACACAGCAGTAGATACGGGGAAACCACAGAATGCAAAATGCATCTGGAACGCAGAGAAAACTCATGCTGATGTGTGACTTGCCGTTGCGGGCAGTGTTCCAGTCCATGGATATTTTTGTGGATCATGTAGTCTCTGAATATGCCTGAGACAGGCGATTTTAATGCAAGATTGGGATATAAATTAAGGTATAAAATCGTCTCTGAAGCTTTGCACTTTTTTCTATTTTAATAGGCATGTGTTTTTTAATTAATAATGAGGTGAAAAAAAGTAGTTTGAACTAACACATGAGGAGTCTAACTATGTTTTACAGCCCTAAAATGGGCATTTGGGGATATCTTAACTTTTAAACATCTTAAATTATTTATAGAATGCATAGTACACTTGACATTTTAATACCAGGTTTACAGTTGTCAGTTAAAACTGCATTCTCCTAATTTTATTTTTCTTAGAGTAAGATTTTTTTTTTAAAGCCAATCATTCCATAATTAATTGCCACTATGAAGTTCTTTTTAAAAGTGACTTTTCTAGAGGCAGTAGCTAATACATAAGTAGGAATCTTCAAATCTTGTGCCTGTGGACAACCCATTCTGTAGTACTTTTCAGTATAGGGAGCAGGGTAATTTGTTTTCAATGTATGTTTTTCAATGCACTGTGCCTCAGCACGGTCCAGTTGAGAGAGTGTCTTGCTGACACTTCACATCCTTCCATGCTATCCTGCGGAAGACTGGACTGCACTTCTCATCTGGTCAGCTGCGTGTAGACCAAAGTGCGGGTGTGTGCCACCTTGCTGTGACTGCTTCAGTAGTCTTTATTTTATGCTGATGGATCACTGCCCTCCCACCCCACCCCCCAGCCCGTTAATCTCAGTTCAGGACCAGTCATGTGGGTACTGAGTATGCTGATGGCCATGTGCCCATGAACCTCAAACACTAATTTTTTTCCTGAAATCTCCTAGAAAACCTCAAATGAGATTTCATGGCTGCTAAGAAGAAACTTAAATTGCAGTAGAATAGACCAGTTGCAGCTTCAGATTTGTTCTTCATGTAGTAGCGTGTTCATCAACCACTCTGGTATTGAATGTTTCACTTGGGGTTTCACAAACAGCCTTGTTATCCCTCTCTTTTCTTCCCTACCTGAAAATGCTACAAGATAAACAAAACAAAACCGCAAACCCCAAGCCTGGACTCTTCATACAGAAAGTAGGAGGTATGTAATGTACTCGGAATGCTTTAAAATAAAAATTGAGATGCTGCCTGTATCTTTGGTATATTTGCCTTGTGGAGTAAGGTTTGCATTGCCCTGTTCAGAGTACCAGGTGTTACCAAAGCCCAAGATCACTGACTGGAATAGGACTTACAGAGAAATGGGACGATACCGCTATCCTTTATAAGTTTGTATTACAGGCTTTCCTTTGAGTGTTGTGACATGCAGTATAAAAAGATCTGACAAATGGAATGTTTCCTAACTATTGGAGGTATTCCAAAATGCTTTATAAACTTAAATTTTCAAATTAAAGACTCGCACCCCATCTGTTCTTGGGGCACTGTTGTCCCAGAAGTGGGGCAAATATTCTTCACCAGCACTGAGTGTATGAACGTGAATTGGCAAACTTCTGATGTCTTGCACTGAAACTGAAGCAGGCCAAAGCTTGCAGGGAAGTGCTGTACAGCTGGTTCTGTGAACTGTGGTCTGTGGCTCTTGAACCCTTTAATCAAAGTGGTATCTGTGGAGATAGTGTGACTACTCATAGTTTCCACCCTAGAAGAGGGATTGCAAAGGGGCATGAACTTGATGTTTCATGTAACACTTGTTTTCAGATTTTTTTTTTTTTAAATAAGAGTTTTTCCCATGAAAAGAAAATGCTAATAACAAGCATGAATAGTGTAGTACCCGTTTTGGGTACGGCTGTATGACAGTTTCATTGCAAAATAAGATTCGGTGGCTAACGTGATAGAGCTTCTGTCGCCGGCACTTCAAAAGGTGCTCAGCTAGGTGTTGCCCTAGTCCAGACAGCACAGCTTGGGCACATTAGGATACTTACTGTCTATGCAGGAGTGAAACTTGGTACGTTTTTCCTGCAAGATTATTTGACTCTTTGCTTCTTTCTCCTTTGCTCCATTTCTGAAACATCAATATTTGAAGTACTTCAGCCTTCCATTTCTCACGAAATTATCAAAGAGCATGATGTGAAATTATCAAAAGAGCAGCTTTTGTGACGATAAGCCTAATTTACTGCACATACCTGAACTGACAAGTATTAAATTGCCACGGGTGCAGAAGTGAACTTATTTCCAGTTGTGGTTTGACTCGGTCAAGAAGGTCTGTATCCTGTTGATGTACGAGTAGAGATCGGTGGTTAATGGGTGCTTTTCACCTTGTGGTGGTACAGGTACAGCTGCGTAGCTCTCGTATCTCGGGCTTTGGGCTTTTAGTGTTGGAAGGCCTGTGGCCTGTTGTCACCAAGTTAAGTGTGTTTGGCCTTTATTTACTTTGGGATAAGCAGCCATTAGAAAAACTCAAGGGGATTGCTCATTTACTGAGTTGTACTCTTAACAGAGCGTAGCATGGTTTTACCATTTCATTATGTAGCATATTTCATATGGCGTATTTTTAATATGGAGAGTTAACTTCATGAGGAGATACAGGAGGTCTTTTTCCAAGATCATAGGATCCTGGTACTGGTGATCTACGAGCATCGGCTGGCTTGGCTTCCTGCAGGATGCAGGGAGCTTTACTGTTTTTTTTCTAAAGCACAACACAACTGGCAGTGCATCATCTCATGCCAGCCCTGAACAAACAAGGTAACTGCTCTCTGTGGAACTTAAATCTGATTTAAGTTAAAGTCTCAAAAGTTATTTTCAGAAACTGACTTGTTTACAACCCAAAACAACTGTGTGGTAAATCATGTTTTAGATTAATTGCAACATGTTGTTCATCAGGAAGTTGGTTTTAAATTTAAGTGCATATTGCACTGTTGGATCATGTAAAATGTCAGTGCTTTAAATCTGTTTTGAAGTGTGTTGTCACAAATAGTCTTTGTATAACTATTTTATAAAGGGTGAAAATACAACTTTGTAAAAATATCCTGAATGAGGATGCCAATCTTATTTTTAAATAATTCTGCTCCTCTGCTTTTAGAAGAACATAAGTAATATACATAAAATAAAGATTTTATTTTAGACTGCAGTGGGAGTGGTGCATATAATACATTCTTAGCTCTGTATACTTTGTGTGGTTTATTATAGGAGGCCACTACTTGTATTTGGTTTGGCTAGTTTTTATATATGATCTAAAAAAAAAATCCTTGGCCAACAAGTATTTTGTTGGCAGCAGATGCATATAGCATTCCTGTCTCACATACCGTAACTGGAGCCTTCATGGTTTATTCTGTGCTTGCCTTCTAGAACTTGGAACTCGTCTGCATGCAGTTCTGAGAACTCGTTAGTCCTGTCAAATGAGGATTAAGGAACAGGCATGAAAAATTAAGGTAGTGATAAGAGAAGTTCTTAGGTGGCCATCTCCCTACCCACCAAGAGCGGTGCCTTGTATGAACTAGCAATGTTGTTCTGCTGTACTGTTAATCTGGGATTTGAGCGTATGCCTGTCCAAACCTGAATTCCGCTGAGACCCAAGGAATGGTCTAAGTTTCATCATTATTACGGTCTTGCAGTAAATTCTGAGCAACTGGAAAATCAGCTTGTAACAACAGCTGCAAGCGTTAGGCGTCTGGAACAGCGCAGCTGTGTGAACGTTGCGCGTGAATCCTCTGTGCAGTCCTTGTGTGAGAGGCAAGGAGTCCCCTTCATCTCGCAGAGGGGGAAGACCACAGTAGTTACCCCTGAGGCATGCAGATCTGATCTTCAACATGCTTACCTTGCTCACAGCATTTTGTGCCTTTCTGTTGCGTATCGCATGCAAGAAACAGGACACCTGTTGAAGAAACAGCTGTTGGCGTGTATGATGATAGAAGAACATGGTCAGACAGACACACTTCCTGTGCAATGCAGCAGAATGTTTATTAAATAAACATTATTTGTATAGCTGTGAACACTTCAAAATAAAACTGGTATACCTCTGAGGGGTGACCTGCATAGCATTTTAGTTTCATTTTCTTTACAACTGATAGGAATTTTATGAGAACACTTGAAAGCTGCACCTTAAGGAACAAATTGTTATTGCATACAGAAGTTCACGGAATAATGCAGTGCTATTTTCCAGTCAGCAGTGAGGTAAACCACTTGACAAAATGCCAAACTGGCGAGGAAAACTTCTGTACTTCCCCTTCGCTGATAAAAGAATTGGGTTTGCTCTGTAACTTCCTTACTTAGACCTGACAACAGCACTAGTTACCAGACCAGAATGTTGTATAAAAGAACCACCACCTTGATCAATAGTAATGCAGTAACACTAATCACAGTATTTTGTACCGTCAGAGGACAGCTCAGGAATAAGTTTTCTGTGCTTCAGCTGTAGGTTCTTAAGTAACATCCGTGTTTACAGACGTTCTGGTTTTGCTATTCTTGGCATTCTTCTCTCATTTTCCTAATTAAGACTTCATGCGTTAAAAACACTTTACCACATTCTTTTCCTACATTTTTGGTTTTGTATTGGTTCGCTGTCTGTTAAGCGTCTGTCCTAAGCAAATAACCACATTAACAATTGCATGGGTTGCTATCATCGTGTCTCACTTAACAGCTCTGTGAGGTAGGAAAGTTGGTATCGCCTTGAGAGGCGGAGAAACTGAGGCAAAGGACTGAAATTCTCATCACTGATCTGTGTCCCACTGGTGAAAACCAGGCTTCCATAATTTCTCAATCTTAAATTCTGCCATATATTCTTTCTAAATGAAATTACCTTTAAGTATTACTTACATTGATTTATAAAGGTGATGTAATACGTTAAATACTACGGTCCCTTCTTGCCAAAATACTGAAAGTAGTAAGTTCTTTTAACTAG